TGTCTGGCTCAAAGGGATGACGATAAGGGGAAGAAGGTAGATGGCCGGGTCGTGGAACTGGCCAATCAAGTCGGTGATTTTATCTCTGGATCGCTGGCAATCGTCGCTACGTAATTGGATATAGGATCGTATGGATGGTATAATCGGTTTCCCTGGGGGAGCGGAGAGAACGCATCAACCCCCTTCGAAGCAAACCTTCGGAATGTAATTAGTCAGGGGAGCGGGCCAGGCGCAATCTTGGCCGGCGATCTGCAGCTAACGTCAGGTGGAGCGGGACCGCCCGTTCTGCGATTTCTCGAGATCCCAGGGATTGCACTGCCGGGTGGCTCGCGAATAATTAAAACCGATCGACAGCCAGGTGCTGTCTTCCCTCTTTCTTCTTCTTTCCCATTTTCTTCCTTCTCTCGCCGAAACAGTTTTTGATGAAGAGGTTTCGTGTCTCGTTGACGACCGTTCAAAACGACAGGGGTGTGCATCGTTTGGAACATGTTACGCGATCTTTGGAGTTTGGCTTTGCCACTCCCGTTCGATGGAAATTTTTATTTTATTTGGGCGTTACGCGTTACTCGAGGTGGGATGTTTTTGAAATATTTGGATTTCTTTAGTCGACGTTTGCGACACTGTATAACGTAAAAGAAGGAACATGGTAGAATTCCATTTGTACGAACTTGTTAGGAGGCAAATACTTTCTGTAATTGGCGTTCATACGAGTCTCAGAAGCTACATCGACCAAGTCGCAAATTTATTTATCGCAAGGGAAATTAAAAAAGGTCGTGTTTCTAATTGTCAATCTTCTATAGGTTTTGGTTCATAAGATTGATCAGCGTATGAGGTTGATTCAGGCTTCTGGACAACTCAAAGTACGTTAATTCCCGTGAAGTAAAATTTCATTTATTCTATGAACTTGTTGAACGAGTAATATAATTCATATATTTTTTTGGAATTCACGTTCAAATGCGTATGTGATGGAGCGAAAGTTCGTTGAATCCGGAACTTTCTGCCTCGAACAAACGGAATTTTAGCGAGAGCTAATTATCGTAAAGGATAAAATTATCGTTGAATTGTATCAGCGAGTATCGCTGAGTGGCGGTCGTTTCCTTCATTAACTCCAGGCGGAATCGATGGATCTCGAAATTTATGCGACGAGTGAGGCAACACGACACTGTATGAAGAAAACCATTACTGAAACCGTCAAGGCGATAACTCCATCCTGTATGCTAATAACATCATCCATCTTCGAGTAACGCATAACAGTTTATACGCGGTCGGCGTAAAAGCTGGCTTTAATTAGCCAACTTCCAATCACCTTGCGTCGTGTCGCGTAGTTCGATCAGCTCGCGAGCAAAAACTGGCCCGAATGACAGACACGAACGCGGTCAGTGATTAACCTCGAACGAGATAATGGAAATCGACCGAATGAATCGGTTCTTCGGAAATTAACGATCGTGTTCCACTTTCCAATCGAAGAAACGTTCCTTGCATTTTCATATTTATTAACCTTTGCATTAATATTTATTCCCGCCAACTATCCTCCGTTTCAGCTCTTTCACTCTCGAGACCGTACACCGTAAAATGTAAATCGGCGAGATCTGTAATTGTCACGGCGAGCCGAGGGTAATCCATAAATTCGAAGCGAAAATTTACATTGCGACGTGTAATAAGGAAAAAGCGACGCGGCTTTTAAATGGGAAGACGACTTCTGAACCACCGTGTGTATAAATATTGTATCGTTGTATCAGTTCCTCGTTGCTAAAGTATGGAAACGTCGAAATAGCGGAAAAGCACGCGAGTATTGGTTCGATGACGAAACCAACGCGGACCGACCGCAGTCGAAAGCTGGAAGATACGGCGAACGTTCGAGGGTTGAAGAAAATTCGACAACTTGTACGCTGCAACCTAACTGAAACTTAACCCAAAGCTAACCTCCGGTACAAGCACGTTAAATAAGAGAAAACAAAGAGAAGAACGGTCCGTGTTAGCTTCGGTGCTGCGCGTTCGGTGGCGACTTGACCCCGAGATTCCACGCGAGTCTTCACGGGTTCTCGTGACTTCTTTCTCCTCCTGTTATTCAAATGGGATCCCGAAGGGAAGAAAGAAAGGGCAGATTGCGGAGGGAAGCACGTTATCGGGTCTGTCCAATCGCCGGTGTATATCTAATGGGTCCGTGAAGTCCCATCCGTTTCCTCCACCTTGTCATACGATGGCTGTTGGCACGGCCGATTCACCTGACCACCGAACCGATCCGATGCTTTATTCGCGCCGCCGTTATCCGACCAACGAGCAATTAACATCCACCACGGGCTTACGTTCGATCGACGTTCCTTGGGGCATTTGCGAAAATTATGCCGCAGATTATAACCGTCCGCCATATTAAACCGAGCTTTTGCAGTCTCTCGAGGTTTGCTAACCCGCCGGAACACGGTCTTTTCGGATTTAATTGGATATCGCTGGAAATTGCCGATTTTCTCTTTTCTTTTTTATTTAGACCATCTTTATATCTGACTTGCGGGATTTTCGAGAAGCTTCAACTTTTACAGAAACCTTGTGCGAGTCGATACGACGTCGCTGTTCCACGTTGACGTGGAATTTCGTCGATTCTTCGTGCGAGATCGCAGACAGAAATACAGACATTTGCCGCGCGCTTCTTCCTCCTTAAAAATCTACGATTCGACTTTTAGCGATAACCTACAACGTCACGCCGTCATAATTCCAAATAATCGGCAGAAAAATCTTTGGAATCTTTTGGGAAAACCTACGCAATTTTCGCAATTTTGTTCGCGATTTGCTTCGAGAAGAAGCGCCTTGAGAAGAATCGAAGTACTCGGAATTATTAGATTCAAATTCTATTCAAAGTCTATTCGAGTTATTACGAGTCCTCTGTTCTAGTTCGTCGCTCGAGGAACGACCGTTGTAGCTTTTAGCGAACAATTTTCATCGGATTGTTTCTGCCGGCGAATATTCATGGCTCTAGCCGGGCGACCCGCGCACTAAACGGTGTACGGGAGTATTGTCGGGTTTTTTCAGCACCGGGAGACCGGTTTCATTGGTAGGTACGCACGTGCAGCATGCCTCGGTTCACGGTTGTTCGTCATGTACCACGCCTAGCCTATGAGGAAAGGAGCACGAGTTCTAGACCGGCGGCGAGATAGTATCGCTGGCATGGATAGAGAGTCCAGGACTCCTAGGAGTCTGGCTTTAATGGCCCGCGGCTATGATCGCCAGGAGATCGCCTCGACACGCTCGATTTCCTCGCGATTTCTCGCGAGTACGTTCTTAAGCAATCCGAAAAAAAACGTCCTGTCTATTTTTCACTTTGCTATATGTCGATAGGAATTCGAAGAAGTAAATTTCTTTCTGCTTTTCGAGTAAAACTTTAGATGCATGTGTATATCGTAGATTTTTTCCGAGATTTAATTAAAATTCATTGCGGGTGTTATTTCCAACGATGAAAACGTACGTGTTTTAGAAACTAAATTCATCAACTTTGGTTCTATCGTTATTCCGACTTTGTTATCTAGTCGCGCGAAAAAAGAAAGGAAAAAAAGACTAAAAAGAAAGGAGCGATTTACATTGGTAAATGTACCTGCTTAGTATTAGATGTTTCGAACTTGATTCAAATTTGTTTTAGACGTCGTTTCCTACTATCGAGCTTATAGCATCGAGTTCAGCAGTCAGATCGATCCACTCCGCTGTTCGTGAAGTTTTCAATTTTACCATCTAATTACGCGGATAACGTCTAACTTTTGAAACAAACAAGCGATTTGTATTCATCAATTTATTTGTCGCAAGCGGCTGACACGAATAATCGTGAATTTCGAAGCAAATATTTGAGAACTTTGCATCGCGTTCCTTTACGTTCTAATTTATCGACTCTAAGAATATGGCTGGTACATGGAAGGCACGTTGATCGACTCTGCTTAGTTTCTCAAAAATTAAATATCCATTAAATATATACGAAATGCGCGTTCTTTTAATTTTACACGCACAGTTTCTTCGTTTCGAAATATACGATTTATCGCGATAGAGATAGAAATTGAAGCGCCTTTGGCGCGCAGAATAGTCCGAGTCTATTCGTCACGTGGCCAGAGTATACGCGAGGTTTTCTTGCGACGATTTTCCAGGTCGTTGGGAGGTGCCCGATCGAAAACACCTTTCTCCGCTTCCCTTGCCTCTTCCTTTTCGTCCCGCTCTTCCCTTGACAATTTCGCAAACTTCGATCGAACCGATTCTTTTTTTTTTTTTCTTTCACCTTCGCGAAGCTGCGCCCTTCTATCGTCTCGAGCGGAAGATTTTTCCCATTACGAAAACGAATATTCACCGAAGGAGACGACTTGCTATTTTTATGTCTGTATCGAGAAATTGATAATTAGGCTGTGGATCAAAAAGAAGCGACGTTGAAATTTGCCTTGCCTGCTAAGCATCAGAACGAGTAATTTATTAATTAGTAATTTATTTATTTTTATCTTATACATTTCGTGCGTTTTTGCTTCTTCGAATTTCCCCTAAATAAATAAAAATTATATGTACGATCAAGAATTCTGAAATATGAACAGTAGAAATGTTTCAAAATCCTGACTCACCGAGGAACGTCGAAATTCATCGTTTAAAAATTTATCTTATCGATAATTCCTATAGAAGAAATGTAAAAGATAATCGGATGCTTCGATCGTACCTGTCACCTCACTTCAACCTTCTATCCACGCAAGAAAAAGAAACGAAATTTATTTCTTGATCGTACGTCAATCAATTCCAATCAAAGATCTCGGCTCGTAACCGTTAGCGTATAGCTTGACCATAATTTGTCCCAAAGCAGGAACGCGTATCGATACGTCGAGGTGTAATCGATCGTGGCCCCAATCCGATAAGTCATCCACGATTATCGATCGGTGGCAACGATCGATCGGCTGTCTCGCGGACGATCGATCACGATCTTGAATTTTTAAACGTTAGTATCTTTTCCGTAATCAACTAACGTGGATGGTGTGGGTTTCCTGTTTCAGCAAAAGGTGAAATTCTGGTTCGCTACGGGCGGCGCCGGATTTTGTATCAGCAGGGCGCTCGCGATGAAAATGACTCCCGTTGCTGGGTAAGTTTCTATAGTTTCACCTAGAAATATACTTCATCAAAAATATTCTCCAATCTTCCGTTTGTTACGATCGATGTCACTTGCCAATTCCTCGAATGTGTTTTACTTGTCGATTCACGTCGCGTTATCGAACAGAGAAAAAAGAAATTCGAGAGACTCAGGATTCCTATTTTGATACGAGAGAGTGTTACACAGTTCTCTCGATTTTTCGAATTCTTAAAACTTGCACGACCTTCGATTCTGTCGCGTTTCCCTTTGAGTTTAAGTTGCCGAAGCATTCATAACGCACCTCCACTTTTTCTCGCCGTTCCGCAAACTGCTGTTTAATTTCGCAATGATCTCGCGACTTGTACTCTTTGTAATTGCTACATCGTAATTACCGCTGGTCAAAGTTACGTGACGGCAATTGCGAAAGCGTTGAAAGAAGTGCGCAGAGGAGTACACGCTGTGAGAATTATCGACGAGACGGCAGGAAAAATTCAAAATCCGCTATCTATCGCCATCGCGATGACACACTATGTACGCTGTCGGTCATAAATATTAGCGCACCTACTCCTTTTGATCCAACGAATTTTACTTTACTTGGTATTCCATGTTACAAGACACGCGCGAGATACCAATGAATTTACGGATTAACGACGAAATAACGAAAAAACAGAAGCAGTGGAAATACAGCAATTTCCATTAGAATTTCTATTATTGTTCGGTTTAGGTTAACGTCGCGACGTGTCTAAATATTTATGGCGATGTATCTGCGTATCAGAGTATTTTATTCCATCGATTCTTTCCAACGAGATATTTATTTCTTTCGCCAATCGCAGACGAGACAGCAGCTCGTTGTCTCGAGTCTGATTCGCGAAGTAGAGAGGAATCGAAGGCAAACAACGGGGCAGTGTTAGCCGCCGGTAAATAATGATTGACGAGGGTCCGTGACATAAACGTCGTCAGAGTTGAGCTCGAATTGCTTCTCGAGACGAACTTATTGATAATAACGCGGATAGCCGCGCGACGTCGCGATCAACCATTCTGATTGCTCGTCGTTGCCCGCTTAAGTGGAATGACTCGTAGCGGTTTCGAGACTCTGTAGTTTGACGGATCGAATCGTTTCAGAAATCACGGATAATCGATGCGCTTCGCTCCTCATTTTCCTCTGTGTCAGATTTCTTTCACCTGCACGTCAGAGTACTTTACGCTCGTTTCGATCGACGAGCACGTTTCATCGTACGATGACGAAGGATACGTTCCTTCGACATGGTTTAGATGGAAAAGAGGAAGTTTCGATGGTGGAAAAATTTCTTTCGTCGATTTGCAGTTGAGGGAACTTGGTGGAACGTGGTGGAGGAGGAGTTGGCGATTTATTGATCGGACACGTATCGCGATGGCACGATTAAGGTAGTCTGGGACAACCACGGACTATGGCAGCTTTGCTTACAGCGATGTGACATTCGTCGCTTCTCTGTTTACTCGATTACATTCTCAAAACGTTCGTTCTTCGCGTATGTTCCATTCGTTCGCGTGTAACCCCAGCCTACTTCTTTATCTCGTGCTTACACTTTCGATCGTTCGTTTATACTTCGAATTTGCTTACTTGCCAGTTTCTTTACGTCCTCGATCGATTCGTTGAATTCTTCATTCGCTCGTGTAGCTTTCAACCCGTTAATTGCGTTTTACCCGTATTGCGTTAAGAATACAAAAAGATATAGCGTCAGAACTACAAAGAAACATATTCGTAGCAAACATCGAGGAATATATTTGTATCGATATGAAGAAGCGATTTTGCTAAAACAAAAGTAGTACATCTTTGAACGATCAGTGCGAGAAAAATTGTACATTAAGGGGTTAAAAAACCTACCCAGTGTCCATTAACGGCCAAACAATCAAGCACACGTCAATCGACAAACCGGAACGCCAAAGAAACGCAATCTCTGCAGACCTCGCGTGGCGTTTTTTCCAGCGTTTCTATAGATGATATTCCCCCGGTTCCAATATCCTCCTCCCACAGAAGAACGGAGGAAGAAGAGACATTCGGATAGACGGACGTGCAGGTAGGAGGAAGAAAATCGAAGCGGCAGACGAATGAAACTGGCAAAAAGCCCGGCACCTGGGAGGGCTTTCGAATCGCTGCGATCTTCCCTGGCCGCGTTTCCCTCTTCTTGTCCACGTAGCATACACGGTCCTGGCATTATCCTGCCTCCTGTACACTGGTTCCCTTCGTGTTGCAACACGTCCGCACAGAAGGCGGAGTAGAGAAGCGGAGGAGGAGGAGGAGGAGAGAGAACGGTGCAAGTGCATCGAACCGCTTTCTCATTCAGGGACGTTGCCACTGTTCTCTGCCTCTCTTTTCTTCTCCCCCTTTCTCTCTCATTTTCTCCTTTCTTTCTTATTTCTTCGCCGGTTGTCTCAGTCACCGATCGAAGACCCTTCGATGTACCAATTCTCCGTTCTTTTCCACCTCTTTTTCACAACGTTGATATGTTTCGTTCCACGCGTCCAACGAGAAGGTCCGAATCGTCGATAGTCGAATCTCCTTCTGTCACTACATCGCATCTCCGTTTTTCATGGAAATGGGAGATTTCGTGTTTCGCGTTTACCAGGATCGGGATTACCAGCGCACTCGATGTTCCTCTTCTTTTCTCTTACTCGTCGGTATGGATGGATAGAGAATTTCATCTGTCGGCACCAGCGGAACTCTCGTCGTCCTAATTTCCTTTTTTCCTTCCTATCAACCAGGGAATGAGATTGTTCGCTTCTGCGAAGGAAGGGGCGAAATACCTTTTAGAACCGACGTTGCTCTATTCGTCTTTTCTTTTCTTTCGAGAAAGGGATATGATATTTCGTAGAGCTTTCGCCGCGCTAATTTTATTTCCTCTTTGTCGAAGAAGGCACGAACACGCTCCTCTCTGAACAGAGTTACAAGTTTCGGAAATCTTCTCCCGCTGGTTCGCTAGGAAACGATAAAGGGAGGGCATATGCGTTTTAAAGAGGTTCAATTGGTTGAAAAATGTTGGAAATCGCTCGACGCATTGTACCCGGTTAAAGCTGACTCGGTACGCAGCAAGAAACTAACACGGCTCTAAGGTATTTTCAAGCGTATAACCGACTGTTATTTACGACGTTCGGCAGTCGTAACGGTGCATCGAGCCTCCTAACTGTCGATAATTTTCCATTAACGTCCGTGCCATCCTCGTTTCGTTAATAGCCGAACAAATCACCTTTACGGGTTCTTCGAACAACCACCATCGCGGCTACTTCCTTCGCGCGTTTCTTCCCTTCAACAATGTCACCGCGAAAAGTATTCTCTTCTATTCTACCGCCACGTTACTTAAAAACCAGCCATTCTAATTAATTTTCTTTCAAGTATCGTGCATCGAATTGCATCGTTAATTGCATCGGATGTCGTTCTCCAGATGACAGGGTTCTCCAGATGGCAGGCAATTAGTCTCGCAGTTTCATTTTCTGTTAACGTTACTGTTCGTTTCATAAGACGCGGCCCCGTCTTCTGTGTTTCTCGGAAATCAAAAAGATCTCGATATAATTGTATCACGATGGTTATCCATTTTCACAGTATATTATCATTATCGAGGTATTATCATTTCATGCAAAGTAACGGCCAAATCCTTGCACGTTCCGGCTCTTAACATTAACCGCGAAAAAACTCGCTGCGCCGACATTATCGTTAATGCGCCGACAAAACGATCGAGAGCGTTAAAATAACTGCACGAATAACGAAAGAATATAATCTCGATAATCAGTCGTGACGATAATTGGTCCCGAGAGCTAATTATTAAAATTACGTTTCAAACTTGCTCTCTGAAATCTCCATCACGAGCATCGCAGAGGATCGGAGCTACCAGCGTTGCCGTAAGTAGATCGTGGATTTTTAAGCAAACTCATATTATTTCAGAATGTAATTAAAAATGTAGAACGTCGGTAGAAAATTGTTTTATCTGCCAAACGTCGTATAAAGCGCTATAATTTGGACATTTTACGCATTATGCGCAATCTGTGCAATCTTGGACAAATTTCCTACGCAAATTAAAGTCGAGTTTGGTCACGAGTGTCAAAATTTCATTCGATTCGATTTGATTTTTCTGAACCCTCGCAAAGTCACGAAATTATTATTAATATGAAAAGAAAGAAAAGAAGATACAGGAAGAAGAACGGAAGAACGAAATTTACGAGTGGTTCGGTTTGAATTCTGTCGATCGAAAGAAGATCGATCGATTCTGCGAAGATGTCGCGATAAAGAAGGAATCCCGGTGATTTTTCGCTTTTATTGGCCGTCCGTCCGAGTCGTCCACTGGTTCAGCTGGATCTCGCGGAGATGGGTCTTAATTAACGACGAACGTGCGTTCACAATGGGCCTGCACAAGCTGATTGCCACCCACGTGCACGCACGCACCCGCGGCAACTCGATTCTGTGTTTCGTATTCGTTCTGCTACCGCTTCTTGCGAATGTCGGCTTATTTTCGTCAAGATGCAACTTAATTAAGAAATCTTCGTGACATTGCAACTTTTCATTCTCGTAGTATCAAAATGTTTCATATGTTTGGTTGTCCGGAAAGTGTCTTTCTTTCGCAAACGTGTTTTTTACAATAGTGCACCTTCGTACAAACGTGAAACCAAGTCTGTGAAATGTCGCGGTGTTTATTCCAACAGAACAAAATGGATCGTATGTAATTTGACAAAACAATATAAAACAAGAAACATCGTGCGTCTATTATTTCCTCATAAAACGAAAGAAGCCAGTAAGAAGAAGGTATTTTCGCCAGAATTAACGTTGATTTTTATTCAGATAAAGACATAATGATATAGATCTATCTACTTTAACTTTAATAATATCATCTGATATTATTAAACCTAATACTTGAATCTAATTAATTAGCACGTAAACGATACGATACAGGCAACGATCTTGCGAACATCTTTTGTAACCACCGTAAATTCCCATATTATGTGTATTCGATGCATTTTTCAACTTTCCATAAATGTACGAGCGT